AAGTGTTGGTGCAGTTATAGTTGAATCAGTAGAACAGGCGGCTAATGCCGTCTAATAGGAACCATCATGAATCTGCAATTTGCATTTATCCGCGTTAATGTTTCTTCCTCAATAATAATAATAAGCAGAAGGTATAATCAAATAGCAATTATTGCCATAACCAACACCAAAAGCTGTGTGAATGCAATCGGGATGTATATCTTGCTCACAATTCCGTAAACGGACGACATTTTTACTGCCCTCTTTTGATTAGGTTCACAGTGCGTTTACTTTTCAATTTGATTAGCCAGAAATGGCAAGCAACTTTTAAAGGTTTTTTCTATGGACTGTTAATAACTTTTGTTTATAGTCTAATAGCTGTTTCGGATTACCTTATCCATTCACCTTAGAACGATGATAACTCGTTCCAAAATACTTGAGATTCGATTCTGATACATTGTCAACCGATTAAGAGCTAGTGTTGAATTGCGTATTGCACTGTTGTTTTCGCTGCATAATGAAAGAAAAAATGCACGGCTACTGTAGAAAACATACTTTCTTATGTTCGAAATGGGTATTCGCCATAGTCGCAGAAATTTAGAAAAGGACATTTCACTGAACTCAATTCTTTTGGAAATACCCACAGCACTTCATTGAATATATGAAATGTTATTCGATGAAGCTTTTTTGGAACGAAACACTGGTTTGAATATAAGTTGCATAAATGGTTTACTGAAGTTTTTACGCTTACCTGTGTATATCTAATTTATATATTGAATATATTAAAGCGGATGACGAGTTCGCGACCCATCTCTATTGCGGAACGGTACCCACGACGACGATCCTTCCGGAATAACCAAAAAATCTTTTTTTCTGCATCTTCCCTCTAGCTTTGGAAGATGAAACATGTTTGGAACCGTCATCGTGTTTAGAGTTCAAAGGTGCGATGGATTAAGTTATGTACGCTGGCGTAATGGAAAATTTGTTTTGTAATGTAGAACACACTTAAGAACAAAAATTGAACTTGATTATGCGATATAGTGTTGATGCTCCTGTGTGTTAAAAAACTGCAGAAAACGGCGATATTTTATTCGTAATCAGAGTCAAGAATAATGAAAAGAAAAATACTTTCATGATCATTTCAGCTTTTTACAACTTCTGAACAATTAACGCTCCAGTGCCAAATCTTGTTATATTACATGTTTTCCATGTGTGGTAGCATATAATGCATATTTGTCATTGGACGGTGTGCCACAACTGCATTGCATTTTCCCTTTGACCTACGGCATAGATTATAATCGAAAACATTTTGATCGTGATCTTCACTCCGTTTCATGGGACATAAGCTGCACTCGGTGACGAACTGATATTCTAGATGATTTGAATTTGTTATATAAAAAAGTAAGGCATAATTCGATAGGTTACTGTAAATCTTAGCATCCATAGTTTGTCATACGTTAAAACTTGCACGGAAATCTGAAGCGGTCTGCATTACGAATTACAGCACTGTAGAATAATGACGGTTTGAGTGTACGTTGTTGCACTTTCTAATAGGAAATTCCTGTCCTTCTTAGATCGCATTATAGATTAAGCTGTTTCGTTGTAATTTTGTTTTGTTTTTGATTATTATTATTTTTGTTACGTCAGATGCCATGGCTGAAACTGTTGTTCAGATTTAGGGCTATAGTATATGAGGTAGGTAGGAATCCGTGGTGGACTGGAATGTAATTTTTCTTACTAGCGTACCATTTGCTGTTGAGGTGCTTGGAGCGATGTCGGAACCTGCTGCTGCTCCAGAAGATAAAGTTTCAGACGAGGGTGCCGCCGTCGGAGGGGAAGGTGCCGCCGCCCAGGCGGATAAAATGGACGCGCAGGCATCGAAGGCGGTTTCTGATAACACCGCCTCTGAATCAATGGACGTAGACCAGGGAAGCAGAGCAAAAAATGAGACTGTCGCAGCACCGCCTCCGCAGGCATCTGAAAACACGACTCCCACAACACAAAAGACTCAGTCTGCTACCGGAGATGCTGAGAAGCCAAAAGAGGTACGTAGATTTGCAGCTCGCTGGCTGGCGTTGAAGTCACCAGCATTTAATTGTTCAGGAGCGGGTCCCTAACTCGACGGGAAAGACCACCGACATTCCGGCGAGCGGAACCGCGACGACGGCCAACGCGGGGGCTAACGAGAACCAGCCTCCCGGCTCCACGATTTCTACTCGTCAGTACTTGGACCATACCGTCGTCCCGATCTTGTTGCAGGCTTTGGCGACTGTCGCGAAGGAAAGGTGGGCACCATGCTTCTCTATTTTGTTTTCGTCATGCTTTAAAGTAAGATTCATTTTCATATTATTGCCTGATGAGTAATGATTCATTTTTCCACGCACTGCCATGAGGTAGTTAATTTTTATTCCATTTCATAATTTTCCTGTTGCCGACAATAAAATTTCATTTAATTAACGTTCTGAACTCTTTTATTACCAAAATCGACCCTCTTACCTCCCGTCCTTTAATGAACTCACTGGTTAGCGATGAGATGCTAATTTATTTATTTATATGTGACGGGGGCGGCAAAGGGAGTTTTGAATGATTCCCAGAATTTACGTGATTCCTTAGTTTTTATTCCAATTAGTTTGCCTGTTTGGATCACCCGATTGCTTGAGCTTGTAGACAAGCTCTCGACCCACCAAATTTTTCGAATAGTACTCCAGTCAGCCACCAGTTTGATGGCATTGAGTTTTTTCTTTGTTGCTGCCGAACTTACTCCCAGTTATTAATGGCTCATTTTCGCTATCCACTTTCGGTCAACGTTTTTTGGATATTCTGCAGTTTCTTCTAGTTAATTTACACTGATGTATATGTTCTGTTGTACTATGCTATATACTATTCTGTCTTATTTTACTGTAATTTTTCTGTTAGCAATCTCTCACTCGATGGCTATGATATAATTGTAGCATATATTTGTAATATTAAGTGTATGATCAATATTATTACACAGTATGTTTGTAACAGTCAGTGTTATAGATATGTTAAACTAAGATAGCGCGATCCTTCTCCAAGACCAGATCTCACGGCGTGTTTTAAGGTCATTATGTCCGATACAGTCACCTCATGCTGAAGATGAACGATTTTCTCGTGCTGGTACTGCGATAGATGGTATCACATGAGCATTATAAGTTGTTCGTACGCCTAAGTATACGACAACGAATCACTCCTCCCAAGAACAGATTCCACAGCTTACTACACCGCTTCTAACTCCTAGTTAGATTAAGGCGGGACAATTTAACAGGTAACCGCTCCAAGGAATGATACGAGACAAAAATACAAAATTATGCGAAATGCATCTGGCCACTACAAGTAGTCAAATACCGTCAAGCCGTGGCCTGCTCTGGTGGCTTCTGGGCAACTTAGATCGGTTAATTTATTATGCCGCGCATGCTGATGTATAGATTACTAATCTAGTAAAGTAAAATAGCTCAAGATAATATAATAACGATGTTCATTTCGGTGCAGTCTATTTTACCGTACAAAATTATTGCAGTTTATGCCATAGTTAAATTATGCTGTAATATATATTTTGCTGAACTCTGCTTTTTTTTATTACGGTGGCAGTTGATCCGTCGAGATGTATAACGTAATATACATTACAGTACAATATAATTATAGTTTATACAGGAGTTATACTT